GTTCTTCAAATTTAAGTAAACTATGGAAATTCGTAAAGCGAATGAAAGGTGGGGGGGATTCTATCTGTATTCCTACCCTTAAATCTCTTGGATCAACATATTTGACGGATGTTGAAAAGGCAAATGTGTATCTGATCAATTTGCCCACGTCAGCAGTTCCAATAATCATTCTCACGAATTTTTAACGCATAGAAAATTGTTTGAACAAGAACACTATGCCACCATTACAAAGAAGCCAAACAATAATAATGGGTTGAACGCTCAATTCACGATCGATGAACTTAACCGAGCAATAAAGACGACTAAAAACTCGGCCCCTGGTGACAATCAAATTCCTTATAAAATCTATAAAAAATCTGTCGCTGAGTTTTTTGTTAAAGCTGCTGGAATTTTTCAATAAAGTGTGGAATGAAGGTACCCTCACTTCAGCCTGGAAACACACCATAGTTTGTCCAATCCCTAAGCCAGACAAGGATCCCAGTTTGGTTACATCGTTTCGACCATTTGCTCTTACTTCTACTATGTGTAAAATTATGGAGTGAATGATTGCATACCGTTTGAATTGGTATTGTGAAAAACATAACCTTTTCGACCAGTTTCAGTCTAGTTTCCGTTAGAAGAAGTCTTTGCTTGAGCATTTGGTAGGACTACATGAAGATGTCAACACATCATTATGTAACAGAAGTAAGGCAGTGTCTGTATTCTTGGATATTGAACGAGCATACGATATGGTCTGGAAAGAAGGTTTGTTATATAAACTCAACAGTTATGGTTTTGATGGCCAACTATTTAACTGGATTAAAGACTTTCTTTCAAACCGAACCTTTAAGGTCAGAGTCAATGGAGCTGTCTCTGGGGGAAGAGTCTCTGAAAATGGCACTCCCCAGGGTAGTGTTATTAGCCCTATTCTATTCCTTCTAATGATTAATGAACTAAGTGCTTCCTTCATTAATAATGGTACGAATTATAGTATTTTTTGCTGATGATCTAGCCCTCTGGAAAACTGGTCGTAATATTAATCACATTCAGACCTGTCTTCAAACAAATCTGGACAATTTAGCCGACTGGTTTTTTAAATGGGGCTTTACTGTTTCAGCCCTAAAGTCTGCAATTCTGCCGTTTTCTCATTCTTCAAGCAGTGTAAAATTAAGTCTTAATAACCAGCAACTAGTCTCTGTCACTCACCACAAATTTCTTGGAGTTATCTTTGATTCCAGATTAAATTGGACGCGACATATCACCTATGTCTCGCACAAATGTACTAAGCGGATCAATCTGCTTAAATGTGTATCTGGCACACGATGGGGAGCGTCCAGAAATAATTTAATACTTGTGTACAAAACCTTAATAAGATCCGTCATTGATTATGGCTGTATCATTTACGACTCGACGAGTCGCTCAGTCCTTAAACAACTGGACGTCTGCGATTATGTTGTGGAGCATTGAAACACACTCGTATATCGGCTATGGAAGTGGACTGTGGTGTCCTACCCCTTGACCTGCAGAGACGGAAGATCCAACTCAAATTTATAGCAAGATCTTTGTATTACGATTATTCTGTCCATTTCATTCAAAAGAACTGGCAAGATTATTACGGAACCTTTCGCCAAAATAACTCACCACTGTCGATAAAAACTGAAGACTTCTTCTCGTTCGTGAACCTTCAAAATGTAGCAAATTACAAATATTTTCAATTTCCTCCTTGGGAGATTCCAACCCCTGATGTTGACGTCAGTCTTCATCATGCTGGTAATAAATGGAAGCAAAGTTATTTGCTTTTGTCCTTGACCAAGGAGAAACTAGCTAATTTCTCAGATTACACAAGTATCTTTACGGATGGCTCAAAGTCTACCAGTTTTACTTCCTCAGCTTTTTATATAAACAATCTCAACATCAGAAAAGCATTTAAAACTGCACCTACTTCTGTATATAAGGCTGAACTGTATGCTATTTTACAAGCC